GGGGCGACTCTGGCCGGGGCTGGTCGTGCTCGCGGTCGCCGCGGCGGGCTGTGCCCGGGCGGCCATGGACGAGTGCACGGACGAGGGCGGGCGGCCGCAGCGCTGCATGCCGGAGTTCGTCAACGCCGCCTTCAACGTGACCGTGGTGGCCACCAACACGTGCGGGACTCCGCCCGAGGAGTACTGTGTGCAGACCGGGGTGACCGGCGTGACCAAGTCCTGTCACTTGTGCGACGCCGGGCAGCCCCACCTGCAGCACGGGGCAGCCTTCCTGACCGACTACAACAATCAAGCCGACACCACCTGGTGGCAAAGCCAGACCATGCTGTCCGGGGTGCAGTACCCCAGCTCCATCAACCTCACGCTGCACCTGGGTAAGCGGTGACAGCCCTGGCCCCACTACTGCTCGCCACAGCCCAGCTCCCGGGCCGTCTCCACCCCTGTTCCAGCTTGAGGGGCTCGGGCGGCCGCGTGCGGGCTGGGCTGTCTGCTTCCCGGCGTGGGCCGCTCAGAAATTCCTTTCTGCAACTTCTAGAGTTGATTGAACTCTTGACATCCGGTGAGGGCCGAGACGCTCCACGCCACATTGATCTCTGCTTTCCTGTGCTTTCTAACTTACCGGGCTTCTGCTTCATAGAGCATTCGCCATTTCGGTTGTTAGGATGTTGCTCCGATTTACTGAAGCATTCATCGGAAGCACCCATCCTTGCTTTTTCTCTTTCCCCGCAGGGCCATCCCAGTGCATGCTTGCATAAAGACAGGAAGGTCCACTTTAAACACTTTTGCTCCAAAAATGTTTAGATGTCTCTGTCTCCAGGATGGAGAGTGATTGCTGTTTGCTCTGTTGAGTTAAGGGAATTCTAGGGGCGCAATTGCCTTCACTACCTGTATTACCTGTGTGTAAGTAAGTGAGAGATTCACTTTTCAAGTTACTGTGCTTTAAAGCTGTTCTGCCGTAAGAGCCACAAAGCTATCACCAGTAATCCTGGTACAGAGGAAACTAGAGGAAGTGCCTGTCCTCACTGTAATTGCTGGGCAGTTTTGTCCTTGTGTGAAAAAGTTCTCGCTATCTTTCCTTTTGCTTTGATTGAAAGCAAGTGTAGAAACGCACAGAGGTGACTTTTTAGAAGTCCGGAAAGGGATGCACAGAAAACTGCCTGATAGGCTGTGGATGGAAGCATTAATCATTAACATATTTATCTGAAAGCATTAAAGATGAGGTGTGATCTAGCCAAGTTTTTCTTCATTACTGAGGCATAGAACAATAGAAAATTTCATTGTTCTTTCACAGGGTAGCATATGTGTGAGACACTGAGATTTGGTTTGTAGGACTTCAATCCCCATTGCATTGAGAGACTTGATTTTACCAGTAGCTGGCACTAATGAACTTCCAGAGAGAACAGACTGCCCCAAGCCATTCCTCTGTCAAAGCAGGGTAATTCTGTAGAGCTAATAACATTATTTAGGATTGTTTGAAAGGGACATTTTGTAGGCAAATGGTTCTTTTGATCATGATTTGTATTTTTTTCCTAGTGCTCGCCAGCACACTAAACTTTATGTAAGTATCAAGATTCCAGACAAAGAATATGATTTACAAAAAGTACTTTGAAAAGTGTAATTAAATTACTGGGCGTGGAATAAATTTTAGAAAGCAGTATTTAGCACCTTTTGTAGTAGATACCATTTTATTTGTAGATTAGTTGTTAGGTGAAAGTTCTGAAAATAAGTTTATGAAATGAAACTCTCAGGCGCTTACTTTTTAGTGATTGAAGATACAGACTGTATTGAGTTCAGTTTTTTAAAGGTGTTGGAAGATGTTAGAAGTAGTACTGTATCTTGGGACAGGTGCTATTCTAAAGGCATTGCAGTAGACAGGGTTTCCCAAGGTTTTGTGGGATTTTTGTGGTCCTTAACCATTTTCCCCTGTTACATTTTAAAAATTGGCCAGAATTATTTTCATAGCTTATACCCAATGTTTGCTAAAATTTTGACTTGTTAAAGCTTCTGTTCAGTTTTGAATACTCTGGAAGTGTTATTTTATCCATTTTCAAATTTTAAGAAAATTCAAAGAAAAGGTACTGTCTTGATGTATCAAAGTGCCTGAAATTCAGTTGAAAAGTTATGAACAACAGGCTGTTAAAGGTGGATTTCCTAGTTTTCTGTTGGAGGTGGGAAGCAGCTAAAGTTTATTGTAGGTGGCTGCAGAGCTAGGTAGATTACTCAGCGTTTTCTTTTCTGTTGGGAGGACAGTGGGGCAGAGTAGCAGAGAAATCGAGTTGAGTTGCTGCTGGGAGGTAGATTACGGTAACTTGGGGTCACGCTCATAACAAAGTCAAAAGAGATTTGGGGTTCACCTAGTTAGGACTCCCAATGTGACTTTTTACTCTAAGAATGTTATATACTGGGACAAGTTTTTGTTGAAAAATTCTTGTTTTTGGTGATATCTTTGCTAAATGACTTCATAAAACTATGTTTAACCTAAGTAATGTACTGCACTAGGAGGGTAAGACAGTTGTGGTATCTCCAGGTGACAGGAATTTTTCAGGTCCACTATATAATCTGATAGGGCCATTGTTGTAAATGTGATCTTTCATGACAGAGACACTGTCATTCCGCACTGGGGTGTATTCTTTTTTATTTCCTTCTCTGGTTATTTTTTGCCTTCTTTTACCATGTGCTTTACCTGTTTTATTGAGCACTGTATCCCTAGTTTAGTGCCTGACATATGGTAAGAATTCAGTAAATATTTGTAGAATGACAAAAGTATCACTAGGAGGATTAAATCAAACCACTGATGTAAAATTTAAAAAAGATTAGTGTTTCAAAAAAACAAAAAAACTGTGTTTAAAACTCTTAAGAAAAAGACAATTTTGACTAGTTCCGCCTGTACTTGTTTTTGGATTGGAAATGATGTCCAGACTGGGAGTGGTGGCACACACCTGTAATCCCAGCCCTCGGGAGGCTGAGGCAGGAGGATCATCTCGAGTTCGAGACTAACCTGGGCTACAAAGTGAGCTCAAGGCCAGCCTGAACTGCATAGCTAGACCCTGTCTCAAAAAAATAAAATAAAAAAAAAAAAAAAAAAGAAATGATGTCCAGGAGGAAATTAAGTGCATTGGAAGAGGGAGGAAGATTTGTGTGTAGTAGGGTTGATTTCCCTCCCCGTTTCATTTCAGTGATGAGGATCACTTATGTATGCATGAATGTTAGGGTCAGCGATTAATGGCAAATAGGCAAGGCTTTCTTTATTGTGTGTGTTTTGATATTCATCATATTCACTTCCTAACTCCATTTATTCCATGGGCTCTAGCTGACTAATTATTTCCCATGAATTCAAGGACCATGACTGTTTTGTGCATCCATTAAATCTCCCATCCAGTTCACATTTCACATACCCTTCAACAAGTGATGCATATTGTGCTTTGGCCTTACAGAGCATGTGAAACTCAATGAGCAGTGTGATTCAGTCTAGCTGCCACTTTTGTAGGCTTCCTTTTAAAGTTGCGCTTTAAACACAGTAAACCTTAAAATAAGCCACGTCAGATCACACTTTTTTTTTCTTTTCTTTTTAAAAATTAAATTAAATTAAATTTTTTTTTAGATCATACTTAAGTAGTAGTAAGAAACACATATGCTTGGGCACTGATCAGAAGTCACTTTTTTATTGTAAAAATGAAACATGACATGACATATTTAAACAGTAAATGCAGCAACAAGTGAGTCTGTCTTCTTCTCCTAAGTCCCGTGCTCTAAAACCACAGTTCACAATTTCTTACGTAAACCTTCTGAAATTGTCACATACCAAGTTACGTGGTCCTGGTAATTATGTATTTGGTGGTGGTGGGGGCTGAGGCACACACTGACATATGGCAGGTACAAATTAGGTCATTGGACCAGTATCATCACTTCCTGTACGAAATCCAGGAAAATCATTAATCCTGAAAGCTGCTGTTTTCTTTAAGATCCATACACCATAATCCCAGTTGCAGGGCGCAGATATAAAGAGCTAAAGCTGTGGGAATCAGAACTGCATTTTTCTCTCTGGTGGAGAGAAATCTCGCCATACACTGTTCTCTAAAACGAAGTCTTTCTCATTTTGCTTTCAGCTTTTAGATCATCTGTACTAACTTCTATACGTGTTGTTCAATTAACTCTAAAAAGTTTTGCTTTTGTGCTCTAGACTAACAAGTTACAGTAAGTTTTATCCCTGTCCAGGGATAGTTGGGTTGGTAGCAAGATTGTAGCTTGGACTTTTATTAAACAGTCCCTTTAATTAATTTTTTTTTTTTCTTTTTGGTCTTTTTTGAGGCAGGGTCTCGCTATACAGTTCAAGATGGCCTGAAGTTCACTATGTAGCCCAAGCTGGTCTTGAACTCAGGGACGATCCTCCGGCCTCAGCGTCCCGAGTGCTGGGATTACAGGCATGCACCACTACACTCGGCCCTTTAATTAATTAGATAATCATTGCGAATGGAAACTTGGCAGACAGGGTCCTGAATCTTGGAGGAAGGTCGCTTTCCCTCTGCTTAAAGCAACTAGGTTAAGAAAACAGTGTTCAATCGAAATTTATAGAACTCGCCAAATGAACCCGGGGTACAAATTAAAGATCCTTATAAATTGTAAGACTCTATAGTGGATTAAGTGAAGCTCTTTGCTGCATATGTGACTGTTGTTTTTCTGTGCATAAATAAGAATATTTGATGTGTAAAGTATTGCATTCTGTTCTGTTCAGTCTTCTAATAAGTATGTATGGAACAAACACCACCCCCATCCCCCAGAAAATCTTTGCAAGGTTGGGTCTTACTCTGTCAGCAATAGCTTACTCTGGTGACTTCACTGTGGTATTTTTGTACCCCGAGGGGACACTGTTTTAGTTTGTCTCACAAAGGCCTGATTTTCATTTTGCAGGTTTCAACTTGAGAAGTTAAGGAGCTGTTCCTTAATGGCCAGTATTTGTTGAACAGTTTTATAAAAGTTGCTGTTGGCTGTTTTCCCCTTCTCTAGTTCATTGCTTTTTCTGCAAATTCCTTCTCCATTTTTCTAAGACGCTCAGAAAAAAATGAAATACTGGGGGAGAAGTTGGAGCTCTAAGATGTCCCTCTCACTCCATCAATTTGTCATTGGTCTCCTGTGTGAGACGAATAAAATTTGACTGTTTCAGGTCTAAATCCTTTTAGGAAGTGGGGGATGCCTTTTGTTGTGCGCCCCTTCCCCCATACATACATTCTCATGTTACTGCGAGATATTCCAAAGGCATTTTAAAAATACCTAAGAAATGCATACCCCTGCGCCTGGTGGAAAGGTATAGAGGAGCGTGTCTCCTGTCTTCAGGAGTGTATACTCTTCTAGATGGAATTCTAACAGTTGTAATGCC